TAGTTGGGCTGCATTTATGCCCAAATAAGTATAGCTTACATTCAAAAATAAATGAGATTTTAAGTTTGTTTCTTGAAGCTTGTGTGTAACAGAGTCCTGTAAATGAAGGTTGTTAGCTAAAATTTGGTCTTTAAAATTTTAAGTTTTGTTTGCTTTAAAAAACCAAGGAACTGGGCTGGGAATGTGGCTCAGTGGTAGAGCGCTTGCCTTTCATGCTGAGGCCCTGGGTTCGATTCCTCAGCACCACATAAGCAAAAAAGAAAAAAGCCGGAAGTGGCGCTGTGACTCAAGTGGTAGAGCACTAGTCTTGAGCTGAAGAGCTGAGGGACAGTGCCCAGGACCAGAGTTCAGGCCCCATGACCGGACCCCCCCAAAAAAAAAACTAATAAAAAAAACCAAGGAACTTTTTCCTTTCTGTGATTAAATTTTTGAAACTAATCCAGTGTGAATATCTGTACTCAGAGAATAAGATACTTGCAAATAGTTGGAAAACATTTAACATAAACATAACTTCATTTTAAATTGAGTGTCATCATCATTAGTAATTTTAGACTCTTAATGTATTTCTAAATTCACATGAACAAAATTTTTAATACTTTTAATAGTGTTGTTCTTGCCACTTAAAGTAAAAACAGCTAAAACACTTTGATGTGTATACTAAAAGGTTACTATAATTTTAGCTTTAAAAATTCATATTCTGTTTCTTCTTTTCTGTCTTCTTCACTCAGTTAATAATGCCTATAGTTAAATAAAGTTTATTATAAGTACTTTGTATTTGTCTCAGAATTTGACTTAGTAAAGCTTTGCATAAATGTAGAAATATTTGCAAGTCTTAAAATGATGTAAATGTTTAACTGTAATAGTTTTGAGGGATGAAATGAAACATGGCTATAGTTACACTTTTTGAATCCAGTTTACGGTAGCTGAATGCTTGTCCCAAGAAATGGGAAAAACCGTAAGTCCTTTTTGCAAGGGCTCACTTGAAAATGAAGGTGGTATCTTATCTTTATCTTAGCCTTGTTTTAACTATCCATTCTTTGGTTGCTGTTTATTTTTTCTACCCTCTTTCTTCAGAAGGAAATAGAATTGAGATGTATCAGCAGAACAACAGATGTTGGGATTTGGGATTTGGTAATGTCTCATTTGACTAATGAATAGTATGAGAATTTTGAATGATCATAATACTCTTCAATTTATGTACTGGATGTTATTCAGACTTTACTTTTCTTGTTTTCCTTTCAAACCATATATTGTATTTTATGTGTATTTATTGTGGCATTTTACTGTTGTAGAAGTTATTTTAGTGTGCTGTCAATATTGACTATGTAAGATGAATTTCTAATTAGTTAGAATAGTCACTTTTTATTATTCTCTTTGGTAGCTCAGAACTTTGAAAGTAAATTTTAAAGCAGCAGAATTTTAGATGGCACCATTTCAAGTACACTTTGGCAGGCCTGAAAGCTGTCATTGTTGTAGCCTTTGCTTGTGTATATGCCATTCTTCCATGTTAGAAAATAATTGCACTCAAATCCCCCAAGAACAGTATGTACCAGACAGCTTTCAGAGATTATAGTCTCAACTTTTAGTTTTATTGTCTTTTGATAAAATATTACAAAAAAATCTTTGAAGCTTTAAAAAAAAATTAGCACAATGACTCAGGTCTTCTGTAACTGTAAAAGAATGTTCCCCTCTAGTGAATGTGCCTGTCCTCAGGTTCAGTAATATAGACATAGCTATGATCTCAAAGGCTTAGAAGAAATACATTTCAAGAAAACAGTGATTCCTTTTAAAGGTGCCCAAAACAAAATACAGATGTGACTTATATTTTACTGACTGGAACATTTCTACTTCAAAACAGGAAGGTCAGAATAGGTATAATACTGATTACAATGAAAAAAAATTGATGTTTTAGTTCACTTTTTAAGTAGTGGTCAGGCTTTCAATAATTAACTGCTTATTAAGACCTACCAGTAAAAACTCCCACTATACCATTGTCAAATTCCATTAGGTAAAAATATTTATTTACCTACTGCTTAAGCAGGTTCTGAGGTTGAAAAGGTATGAAATGAACTCCGCTTTTCATTGTGGCTCTTTTTTTGGGTTTCCTACCCTCTGCATGTGACCACTAAGTAAAGTCAGAGATAGTTAAGAGCTTTTAGTTGATTTTTGAGTATGCTTTATGTTAAAGATGATTTATAAACCAAATCTTCACATTGAGATTTGTTCTTCCTGGAATAAAAAGTCCTATTCGTTATAAAGCTCTTTCCATTATTATAAAAGAATATTTTACTTAACTTTTGGATTGGTTTATAACTATCTGGAAGGTGATTATATTTATTGCTTGCATCAAATAATCAACTAATATACATAAAGTACCCCTTCTGCAGGAGCTGCATCTAAGATTCATACTGGAAACCTTGGAGAGTTGAACTTGATATACACTTTATACATACATATATATATATATATATATATACTTTACTATACAGAAATATATACCACCTGTGATAAAGTTTAATGTATAAATCAGACACAATGGAGATTAGTAACAATAACAAATACTAAAATGGAATAATGATCACAGTTATTTTGAAAATTCTAAAATTATCAAAATGCTATAACCAGCATGAGTTTCTTTTTTAAAGATAGTTTCAAAGATAGAAGATTGATTTTTTTTCTTTCCTTATGTAGAAAACTATGTTTTCACATAAAGAAAATACTTTATGACTTCTTTTGCTGTATTTTAATTACCAGCCTCACCACTCTTGTGTTTTGGGGCCATTATTAAGATAAGGGTTATTTGAATACAAGCACTGTACTGCTTGTATACTGTAAGGCTGCAGAGTTAATCTAATAACCAGATGACTACTCAGTGACTCATGGGTTGTTAGGGTAGACTGTGGACACACTGGACAAAGGAATGATTCACCTCCTACGCTGATGGAGCAGGACAGCGTGAAATTTCATCACCTACCCAGAATGTTGCACAGTGTGAATTGAAATTTAGGAATTGTTTCTTTTCTCTTCCTTTCTTTTTTCCTTGTCTTTTTTTCATTCTTTTTCCCTCCCTTTTTTCCTCCCTTCCTTTTTCTTTTCTTTTTTCTCTCTTTCTTTCTGAGAGGGACAGTACTGGAGTTTGAACTCAAGTTTACCACTTAAGCCATGTTCCTAACCTAGAATTGCTTCTTTTAAGTAATTTTCCATATACTAATTTTGACTAAAAGTTGGCTGCAGTACAGAATCTATAGAAAATGGAGTTGCAGATAAAGGGGAGTAACTGTAAAAAGCCTATGGAAGATCTTACTGCATTGTTTCAAATCATGGATAGTTTTTTTAAATTTTTTTATTGTAAAGGTACTGTACAGAGGGGTTACAGTTACATGAGTAAGGCAGTGAGTACATTTCTTGTCAAGCATTGTTACCACCTCCCTTTTTGTTCTCCCACTATCTCTTCCCTTCCCCACCTCCCTCAATCCTTATGGATAGTTTTAAGATCCCAAGTCTGAAAGTACCCAAGGTTGATGCGTGTTACTGTTAGTAGTGTCTTAGTTCTGTGTGTGTGTTTTTTATTGTTATTGTAAAGGTGATGTACAGAGAAGTTACAATTACATAAGTCAGGTAAAGAGTATATCTCTTTTTGGACAACATCACTCCTTACCTTGCTCTCTCCCTATTAATTTTGTGTAGTTTTTATCCATCATAACAAAGCCATTGACTTGACTTATCCTCTAAAGGAAAAAGAGCTTTATAAATAATGTCAGGATCATCTCCCAAATATTCCACAAGAATGTGAATGCTTTAGTATGAACCTGTTAATGAAAATTGGGGCATACCAATGTTATGGCTTAAAACTTGTAATTGAACTATACATATTTGAAACTTTTCAATATACAAGTTGGTATCTGTGATCTGAAATGCTGTAGATCAGGAGTCTTTTGGATTTCAGATATTTGGGTCTTGAGAATATTTTCATCTATGTGAGGAAATATTTGGGGGTTGAGATTTAAGTCTAAACATGAAATTCATTTGTTTCATATGTGACTTACACACTTCGTCAAAAAAATGACATCATATAGTATTTTAAGTGCACCAGTATTTTGTCTGTGACCAATCACATGAAGTAAATGTGCTGTTTTCCTCTTGTTTTGTCATATAGGTAATTTAAAAGCTTGATATTTTGCGCTGACTGATTTTTTTGGCTGTTCATACCTTCCTCCATCATGCCAGAGGTGGCCCAGAAATGTTTGGAATTAATAAAATACTGTATCTGAGTTTTACTTCAGCAGTCATTAGGTCTTTTGTAATAGCCTCTAAATCTAAGTATCTTTATTGTAGCTATTTTCTATCCAATAAAACATATGGTGACTGCATTTATGCTTCTAAAATTTTTACTGGAAAGATTATTATAGTAGACAGGTCCCTTTTGCAACATGACTGCAGGGAACTACAGTTGCATGCATTGCTGTCTGTTAAACTTCTTGGAAGTGAGCCAGTATGTTATGGTGGGTTTCATATGTACGCGGTGAGCCACTAAAAGGCTTGCACAGTATTACAAGTATACAGAGGAGAGGAAGCATTTGGAAATTCAGCAGTAAAGCAGCAGCAGCAACAAGCAGCCACAGTGGTAGTAAAGATAGGGGAGGTTCACAGTTAGCATAGTTCCCAGTGTGAGGCAGTGAGCACATAGCTTCCCCTACTGCTGCCCAGAGGTGGCAAACCAAAACTGTATATTGGCACGATTCTTCTACTTTCATGTTTATGATGTCAAGTCATGTGATGATACTGTACCATAAGTTGCCAACTTCACTTTCCTCTGGAGAAGATCCTTTGCTGCAGTGCTTTTTTTTCCCCTTTCTCTTTCTTTCTTTCTTTTTTTTTTCTTGAAAGAGAAAAAAATTGTGCAATGTATGTTTATGCCTACACCATGCCGAGGCGACACTTACCAGTAAATAATCTCTGTATCCCCGAGGTAAGATACTGTTTCTGCTTTCCCTGCACAGTGCTGCTGCAGCACGGAGCTGATCCAAACATTCGGAACACTGATGGGAAATCAGCCTTGGACCTGGCAGATCCTTCAGCAAAAGCTGTCCTTACAGGTAAGAAAACAGAGCTACCAAATTGTTTTTCTGTGAAACAACTAGCTTGGTTTTTGTTTTGTTGTTGTTGTTGTTTTCTTCATTTAAAAAAAATAAAAGTCTTCATCTTTAAAATCTTTTTCCTGTTTATTCACTATTGGAACGAAAAGAAAATATAATTACTACTTTATTATTGATGGAATATCTGTCTTATTAATTGTTGTGCTGTCATAAACACAGGCAATAAGATTGCTATACCATTAGAATTATAGCAATAAATCATACTATGTGTTAGTCACTCCTCTTTTATCTTTCTTGTGGTTTCAGTTGCAGTGTAATTCTTATGCCTTATCCTCTCAGTTGTTTCTTTTTAAGACCTTCACTATTGAGCAGGCAAGGACATTTGTATCATTATAAAAGTAGTTTTGATTAGAAAGACAACCTGCTGCCTTAGTACTTGGATCGATAGTTAAGTAAAATGTGCAGCTGCTTTCCCCCTTGCCGTCCTGTTTACATTTTTGTCATGTATTTTCACTTTTTACTGTGACAGCCAGATTATTTTTAACTAGGGCAATATGTTATCTTTCTTTTTTTACTTCGACAATGCTTTGGCTTAAGTATTAGTTTTATGAAAGCAGATTCTAAGAGCCAGCAAAGGTAGTTTTAGAATAGAAAAAAAAACTCTCAAAATAATAGAGAAAATAATGCTATACCTGATAGGTTCCTGAGCAACTGTTTTCATTGATCTTCATTCTCAGAATGCTGCATTGACTCTATTTTTGTTTTTATTCTTAGCATCTTAGTCCCTCTGCCTTTGCCCTCTTTTACTTAACTGACCTTTGTGATTTGGAGCCTTTTTGTTACTGCAGAGCTAACTGTATTGTTTTAGGTTGTGTGAAAGTAAATGATTTTTAGCTACCTTTTACATTGCTCTGGTTGAAGAAAATAAGTCTTCTGTTCTCATTTAAGTTTTAGAGTACATGCTGTGTATTTTTAACAATGATTTTGAGATGATTGGAAGATGTTTATATACCAAAAGCTCTTAAAATATATGAAAATTTACTTAATTATTCTGCATAGAAGCACAACTTCCCACTGTGCTAAAATTAATATAATCACAGCTCAATCAATTAATCTCAACTAATATAAGTTAGATGATTGAGATGCTGAATCAAGATAACATATCCCAGAAGAATAAAGCTTTTTAAGGCAATATAAAAAAGAGATTTAAATGTAAATATATATATAGTTTTAAATAACGATATGAAAATGCATAGTCTTAGGCCCTACTTGGCTTCTGTAGCCTTTTCAGTTTCTTCTTTTAACAAAACAGTAACGATAGCAGATTTTAGAATGGTCTCTTGATCAAAGAAATACTGTTTGTAGAAACAGAGATGCAGTATATTATTTTGCTGAGCAAGACTGTCTCCCTATCTGTGTCCTCCCTCTGACCTTTCCTCCTCTCCAACTCTCCATGCCTGTCAATTCATTGTTCCACTCATTTGATGCATCATTGCTTTTAGATCTACATTTACTTTTTAAGAGACAGAGCTGAAATATAAGTTGTTAAGAATAAGCTGCTATGCCCAAATTTGTAGTGAATTGTGGGGAAAATGATTGGGACAGAGCTTTGAAGACTAAAGATTCTTGGAGGACAGATATTCTATTATTAAACATGCTTTGAAAGCCATGCAATCACAGTAGTTTTGTTTATACATGAAGATAGTAATTTTTTTTGGTTAAAATACTGATTTTATTAAAAGCATCTACTTTCTAAAATGGTAAACAACTTTTCAGAAATGATTTAAAAGTAAAACAAAGTCTAGTAATAGTTTGTTAGAAATACAAATTAGTTCTACTTCTACATTCATGTTATACAATACAGCAAAATAACACTTAGGTAAAAGTATTCCAAGATGTTCTTCCGCCCTTCTAGGTTTTTTATTAAACAATTCTTTCAAATAGAATTATGGTTGAAGTTAATATTTCCAAAGCTAAATTTAAAGATTAAGCATTGATTTTTAAAAAGGGACGTGGGTTTGGGGTGTAGCTTTTACCTAACATGTACAAAGTGCTATCTATGTTCAATCCCCAGCACCACAAAGTAAAAACAAGCAGGGCATTTTTTGAAAGTAATGTTTTAGAGGTATTAGACTTATTTCAAGTGATATTATGCCAGATGCAATTGCAGTACCATTACTTGACAATGAATTTTTGTCCTTGAATTTTTGTTTTCTCTTTAGGAATATACTTGCTGAAAACCTCTTTCACATGTCCCATCATTTATGTATTTCTGTCTGATGGCCAAAACTTCCTTAAAGGAAATTAACAAAGTGAAAATATCTTTTTATAGAATGCTTAAAAATATATACTTGGTTAATGCTATTTTATGTAAGGAATTCCTGGAGTTTCAGAAGGCTATGAAACAAGGATGTGCCCTTAGTCTCACAGTTAAAGAACCCTACTATATAGCCATTTGCTTTGGATAATGCACTTAGTCACTTAAAAGAGGATATAATTGGAAAGACTGATTATACCCCATTGAATTACACTCTGTTGAATTATGCTCTGCCTTATGAGCTGCAGTTCAACTCCTGCCTTTTTGGAGATAAAAATCTCATAGACTTTCCTGCCCGGGCTGGCTACAAACTGGGATCCTCAGAACTCAGCCTCTTGAGTAGCTTAGGGTTATAGGCATGAGCCCACCAATGCCTGGTTTATTTATGTATTTTTTAAAACAGGGTTATAAAAAAATCTGAAACAGCTCAAGTAAGTTATTGAAGAAGATATTGGTGTGTTATGAAGATGGAGCTTTAAAGTAGCAAATTATTTTGAGTATCTTTTGTGATTATAAAAATATATTCAGGGGCTAGGAAGGTGGCTCAGTGGTAGAGTGATTGCCTTGCATGCCTGAGGCCCTGGGTTCAATTCCTCAGCACCACATAAGCAAAAAGAAAAAAGCTGAAGTTGCACTGTGGCTCAAGTGGTAGAGCCCTAGCCCTGAGCTGAAGAGCTGAGGGACAGTGCCCAGGCCCAGAGTTCAGGCCCCACGACCGGACCCCCCCCAAAAAAAAATATATATATATATATATTCCTACCTAGAAATGACATTGTGATGTATTTCATGACTTTTATCTGAGTGAACATACCTTATACTTGATTTTCTTCAATCAAATCAATTATTTAATCAAATGATTTCATTAGTATATAGTACCTACATAATAATAGTATATTATATAGCGCCTACATAATATGTATACTTATGTCTAATTTGGTAGCATAGGTGTTCCCAGAAAACACTGTATTCTGCAACTTAAATTTGTAATTACTTCATGGTTCCATTCTATGGATATACTTTGAGTCAATACCCTAACACCTAATATTTACGTATATTGCTTTTTGCTTTTATTCTTTGTACGTTTGAAGTCATTTTATTGGTTTCACTGCTGTTGTACTTGTTTTCCATTATCAGTTTTAGCACACAAACATGATGGACATGTCTGTGCTTGACTTTGAAGAGCCACATTTTAGGTAAAATTAGTAGAGAAAGGGAATTTTCCTTAAAGATAGCTAAGAAAAGTATTTGCTTGCCACATCCTCCACTGCTTTCTACAATTTTACAGAGCCAAAATATGTAATCTATGAAGACTTAAATGATCTAGACTTGGCTTACCTAGGTTTGACTGAAGTTTTGCTCACATCACAATACATTGTTCTGTTCACATTAGTAATTTGGTCTGCTATACTTTGAGGTTTCTATCCGGACATTTCTAATCACCATCACTCTTTAGCTCTGGTCCATACCTTCACTTTCTTTCTTTCATGACAGCGGCAGCTTAATGGATCTCTCTGAAACTCATTCACTTTTCTTTATTTGTAGCTGGAGTAAATCTTCTAAATCATAAATTAGCCCCATATTCAGAAAAATCTTTACCATATTCCCAATGTCTTCAGACAAAATCCCATTTCTAGAGCTATGTCCTGTCACAATCTGTCTTCTCTCTTGTGTGCCTTTCTTCTCCCTTGATTTGTGTTCAGCTGTGTGAGTTAGCTGTGCTAACTGCTCTAGAACATTACCATCAGTTGAATCTACCCAGGTGTTTACACCTCAGAGGATCCTTCCTGTGAACAGTCTCATTAGTTTATTTGGTGACTTTATTGATATCTGAAATCATATTTTTTGTTTTGTTTTTATTTATTTTGTGCTAATAGAAGGAAAGATAGACAGGAGTTTGGGCTTTGGTTTGTGTTATTTGCTTACTTACTCCAGGACTTAGAAGGATACATGAATGATTAGATAAATACATCTAAACTGCTACTGGAAACTTGAGAGCAGTGCGTATTTTCCAGGTTCTACTGTACTCATCAATTCATTGTTTATTTTTGATATCATGTTATACATTGTGATATCTTAACATGTTTTCTACATCCAAGATCGCTTGCAATCTCAAACCATACATGAATATTAAAAATGTTTTATTGGTAAGATAAGATGATGTGTAGGTACTTATCTTTAAGGAGTTGCCATTTAACAAAGCAGTTTATGAATATACATCTGGATGTTTCTTACCTTTGTAAGATATATATTGAATTCTTGACTGCATTTGATAGACTTCTTAGTTGGCATCTCTAACATTACTGTTCTGAAAAAAACAAACAACAACGTTGACATCAGACTTATGTGATCAGGGCCTCATCTTCACTCTTTTGGTCATTCTTTTTTTTGCGTGTGTGTCCGGTCGTGGGGCCTGAACTCTGGGCTTGGGCGCTGTTCCTCAGCTCTTCAGCTCAAGGCTAGCTAGCGCTCTACCAATTGAGCCACAGTGCCAGTTCTAGCTTTTTTTCTTTTTGCTTATGTGGTGCTGAGGAATTGAACCCAGGGCCTAATGCATGCAAGGCAAGCGCTCTACCACATCTAGTTACAGTATAGTACAGAATATTGTAGATGGTATGTCATGCTGTGAGTTTCGTGATCTAAATCAGATTCCTCACACTGAATTTTTTATCTGTCAGTTATGGAG